CATGACATTGTTATGTCACCCTCCAAACAACTTTCACCAGAGCTCATCTGATGATCATCCACGTTCATGTTTTGTCCATGAAGTATACTTGACGGTGGCGCTACCATCATCTGATGATGATGATGATGATCATGACTATAATTTGCGGCTCATCATCTCTGCATATATACATGTATATATCCATATTCCATCACTTGTAAGTTCAGCCACATCTACATCCATTTATATATGTGTGTGTGCGTGTGTGTGGATATTATCACCTAGGAGGTGGAGGAGGAAGAAAGCCATTGGAGTCCAAAAAATTAAGGATATGAGCTTGTGGGTCTTTTTGTGGAATCCAATCCAGTATATTGCTTGAACTTTCTGTCATAAAACTATTGACATTTGTTGTTTCCGGATGAGGAACCTGCACCTAATTCATTACCAACTTTAATTAGTTCCTAATTATAATATATATATATATATATCATATATGTATGTGCCTGTATGTGTGTAGAGTTTACCTGTGGTGGTGGTGGACCAGGAGAACTGTATCTATCCTCCAAAACTTGCTGCAGCCCATAATCATATTACAATCGATTATCTCACAGCATAGTACCGAGCTAGCGGGCATATATATATATACATACTATATCAGTAACTAATATTTGAGTTATATATAATGTACCTTTTGCAGGTGAACACGTTTTAAACTTTCTTGGAGGATCTGCTCCCGGTACTCGGCTTCACACAACGTTGTGATTTCACATGGATCACCTTCATATATCCTATATATATATATATACACACATGAAGAAAGATCACTTCTTGATCTCTTTAATTACATACTTGCAATAGAAATTAGCGGCCAGCTGGGTTTTTTCTCGAGCCTTGAAAAGAAAAGGTACCTTAGTCGTTTTTCCATCTCCATTATTTGGGACCTGTGTTTGAGGATTTCTTGTTGAAGTTCCTGCATTTATTAGTATATATGAGATAGTTAAGGTTAAGTTTATATAATATATATATATGTGTAGTTTGACGGATTCGCAAATTCTATTTGAAATAATAGAGAATTGGTTTTGCCAATTATCGAATTTAAGCTCATTAAATGATGCAAAAACCTCGTGGAAGAATTATACAAATCAAAATTAAGGTACAAAAACCTAACTTAATATACATGACTCCAACTTTAAAAAAATATTAATCGGAAGTACTACCAAAAAAATTAAACCCATGTTATTAATTGAACTTAAGTTTATTACTGAAGAAGAAATGAATTGAGTTGATATCAAATTTAAGCATGAATATAGGAAATTTATCTAAATTATGTTTATTATAAATAAAATGATTCTGTATGTATGTATATATAGAAGTACCTCAAGCTGAGAGTCAGTGCTTTGGGGACTGCAGCTTCACATTATTACAGTTACAGAAAGAAAAATAACAAAAAAATTAGAGAAGAAATCTAGGAAAAAACCAAGTAAGATCACATGTAGGCAAATAATTAAAAACAAAGCAGATGGCAATTTATATATACATACATATATATATATATATATATATATATATATATTCCAAACCTGGGAGCTGGTTGGTATGAAATTTGATCAGCATGATCACAGCTTCTCAACTTACTTAGTGCTTTTAGTAAAAACTGCAAATATTCGGAGACAACTCATTCATGATCTCCAACTAGAAATGCAAACTTTTCTGAACAAATTAAAAAGCTTAATTACTATTTAATGATACTTAAAACGAAGATTTGTACCTCTTTGTTATGCAATCTTAAGTAGACGGCGCCACATAAAAAGAACAAAAATATCATCATTAGAAGAATATAATAAAATAACAAAAGATAAAATACGAAATGTGCAATTAAATTTTATTAATCTTGTTAAATTACATCAATTAATAAAGCATATTATGTACTTAACCATCGAGATTATTAAGTAATGTGTAAGTCGAAGATTTAAGATCCCCGCTCGCCAAAAACAAAAGAATCACCCTCTTACCGTCCTCTTTCGTGCTCCGGAACATTGACATACCTTGCAAGAATTTCTTCGATGCTTCAATAAACCAAAATTAAACCACATAGGGAGTCATTAATCTCAAACTTTAATCTCATGTCATAAATTGGATTTGTATGTATGTGTGTGTATATATATATATATATATATATATATATATAGAAGATGTAATTATGATAAGATATTACCTTTTAGAGCCAGAGAAATGAGTAACTCTTCCAGATGGAGAAAACATGATGAGAGCAACATCAACATCGCAAAGAACAGAAAGCTCATAGGCCTTCTTGATTAATCCATTTCTCCTTTTAGAGAAAGTCACTTGCCTGTTTGTTGTATTCTCTATTCTCTTGATCTGAAGCTTCACTCTTCCCATTAATTAATTTTCCTCCGATAATCACCTCTACCTCTTATTTTCCCCAATCCTTTATTTGTCTCTCCTCCTCCTTTTTTCTTTTTCTCCACTTATATTATTAATTTCCAGCTTCATATATATGGTGGACAGATATACAAATATATATACGCGAGGGTTGCTGCACCGTTCTAAAAGCTCAAAGTTTATAGTAAATTAGGAATAATGTAATCCAAGATTCAATGTTGAAAATCGGGAATAAATGGAATTTGATAAATAATATTAGATCAGGCCTTGGAAATTAATGAAAGAGATATATAAAAAGGAGTTAGAAAGTGAGAGGGGAGTAGAGGAGGAGAAAAGTGGGAGTACGAAATTTGAAACAGATGATGAAGACAGTGGGAGTTTGTCAATGTCAGGCATAAGATGACGAGAGAAAGAGAGAGAAAATGGCGGTGTAAGACGAAGCTGGCTGAAAACTGAATTAAATAAATTTATATACATATTTAGTTTTTTATTAATAATTTAGTTTAAACATAATATTAAGTATTTTGTAGAATTAGATTCTGAATTATTATATATTTTGAATAAGTTTAAAATTAGATACAATTCATTTACAAAACATAAGTTCTGCCAAAAGAAGAATACAAAAAGAAAAATCAAGGAGCGGTGGTTAGAAAGGTCCTCAAATCTGTTACCTTCATAATAATAATAAATAAATAAATATATATATACATACACACATACATACATACATACAGAAAAGAAGTACACGTACACTTCATATATACACAATTATTTTCTTTTTAACCTTAAAAAGAAATTTATACACACATATATATAATCCACACGGATCCCTCATGGGGTTTCGACTCAACCCGTGTTTTGAGTCGGATTTTCCAACAATTTTAAAATTTTTGCATCCTATTTTACTACTTACTGTCATAATTATTCTGAACATTAAAATCTAAAAATTAAGTATAGAAGAGATAATTTATTATTTTTTATTTAAAAATTCATCATTCATAATTATGTTTATCAGAGAAAAATTAACCTCAAAATTACCGAAACGAACTTTTTCTTTTGATGAGTGAGAACAGTCGAAAGAAGCTTCAGAAAGAAGAAAGGAAACATGTACACATATACATTGTGTGTAAGTGATAATGACGATGAAAGTGTTGATGTGACCGAGGCATGAGTTGTGTACGTGGGCGGAACTGGGAGGGTAGGGTCCCAGTGAGCACATGGTGTAGTGCCTTTCAGTTGCGGTTTCGGGCGAGTTTGTCGAGGAGGATATCCACTGCACCCACTCGACCAAGCCTTCGCCACGTGTCATATTTTTCTCCTTTCCCTCGAATGCTAATTGCTGATAAATCTCACACGTGTCCATCTCTCTCTCCTCTCCACACGTGTGAGCTCCTCCCAGTCTCGTTAATTTACAACACAACGTTAAGTTACAGCTTGTAAAAATTATTTTTCCCTGCAGATTCCGGTATGGTGTCCCAAGTTTCAACGCAATTGTAGAATATTAATCTGATTGGTTAATTACTACGTCAAAAAAAAAAAGTTATGTTTATTATATTTTAATGGGTTAGTCCTTTTTTTTTAAAAAAAAAATTGAAAATCACATTTAAATATTTTAAAATCATAACTAACTGTAAAAATGATTAATTTTATTTCATAAAAAAATCGATTTTTTGTTAATTTAATTTTTTTAAAGAAATGTGATATGGATGGGTAAATTAAAATGACCAACACAGCGTTTAATTAAAAACCCCGTTTAGGCCTAGAGCCGGCAGCGGGTTACAGCCAATGGGTCTCCAAATGGGTTCGGACTCAGTTTGGGCTTCTGCAAATATTGACGAGAAAAACACGGACCATTCAATCAAAGCATGATTGATTTAAATAAAACATGACAAAATATGAGTTTAATATCAACGGGAATTTAGGTCTCATCTTATTATTTTTTTACAACATATATTTTTCCAATACAACAAGTCCATCTTGCTTCATATTTTAGAAAGCATTTCAGCCATGGCGGCTCTTGGTCGGCATTTAGCTTGCAGAGGCCTAGCCTTCTGCAAAGTGAAGGAAATTCCTTCAGTCATATCCACCATCTCCTTGTCAACCCTCGTCCACTCAAAGCACTGAATCAACGAGCCAAGAGTCAACCCTATCACCCTCAGAGCCAACCCATCTCCAGGACAGCTTCTTCTCCCATACCCAAATGGCATCAAACGGAAAACATCCTTTACCCCGGTTGTCTCCGAGATCCCTTTAAATCTCTCTGGCTTAAAGTTTGTTGGATCAGTCCAGATATTAGGATCATTTTGTATTGCCCACACGTTAATCATCAGTGTTGTCCCGGCTGGAATACGAAACCCTCCTACACTGCACTCTGCTGATGATTCCTGAGGTGCTAGCAAGGGGGCTGGGTACATACGCATTGTTTCATTTATGATGCTGCGAAGATATGGAAGGTGGGGCAAGTCTGATTCATGAAGAAGACGACCCTCTGATATATGATTATCGATTTCAATTTGGGCACGTTCAAGCTCTTCTGGGTGGTTCAGTAACAGAGAAAGTGCCCACTCCATTGTATTTATAGTTGTATCAGTCCCACCCAAGATAAGATCCTGTATATAAAGTTGCAAAACTATAAAAAGCACAAGGAAATTTGTGGATTTTACTTGATAATAAGTTTGAAATCTTACTAGCATAAGGCCTTTGATAATCTCGTCACTGTAATATTCAGGCTCCGATTCTTGCAGCGATAGCAGGACATCAAGCATCGTCTCCTTCCTCCCTCCATAATAACTATCAGCTTTCATCTTCCTTCTTCGCTCTTCCATCAACTCCTGCGTGAACCCATCTCTCTTCGTTTGACACGCTATCATCCTCCTCTCAATATTCCAAGATTTAATCCATGGAAAGAAATCTCCAATAGTAGTTGCACTACCCAACTTAAAAGTCTCTACATGAAACTCACGAAATCGATTTGCTTCTTCAAGGTCTCCTACGTTCTTACCGTAGTAGCTCTTTCCTGTTATCATTCTCATCATCATGTTGAGCGTCAACTCGAACAACAATGGTCTCAAATCAACAACGCGTTCTTGACTATCCAAGAGGGTGCGAATCATCATCCTCATCTCGTCGGCTCGGATGTCGTACAACATTTGGAGGCGGGTGGGTGATAAGAGCTCGAGGGAGGCGATTCGCCTGAGGTTCCGCCAATGGTCGCCGTAGGGTGCCCAAGAGATGGTGGTGAAATTGTAGGCCAAGTGTTTGCCGATCAGAAATCGGGGACGATTGGCGAAAACAATGTCGTTTTTGGTGAGACACTCTTCAGCGGCTGACGGCGAGGAGACGACGAGGACTTTGCGGGACCCAAGTCGGAGCAGAAGAACATGGCCGTATCGCTTGGCGATGCGAGAGAGAGTTGCATGAATGGGTTGCTTGAGGAGATAGAGATGGCCGATGATGGGTAAACATGGAAATGGCGTTGGTGGGAGATTCTGGATTTTGTTCAGAAAGTGCTTGGTGAAGATGGAGAGTACGATGAGTCCTAAAATGGAGTAGAGATACCAGACTGCCATGATTAACCGACTCGCTCAATGGTTTTTTCGTTTGAGGATGAAACGACTCAAGTTTTGAGGATATTATCTTTCAACGATTGATTTTATAGAAATTCTTAAAAGTGCTTAAAATGGTATTATAAAAAAAGTATTAAGTATTCATGTACACAAATTCATTTTTATGTATGTTGGAAAAAATCTCCACTTTCCCAATTTAGGAGATAACTTGTCAAAAAGAGAGGAAAATTAATGTATTTGCATTCTCCTTTTATTATTTCATGATAAGAACAACTCATCAAATTATAGATAGACATGAAAAAAATAAATACTTGTCACTTTATAAATCACTCATAAATTCAACTTATTACATTTAATTCAATGGACTCAAAAATTTAATTCATTAATGTTTTAATAAAATTTTAATAATTAAATTGAATTTGGTATCAAAAAGTTAATTTATTATGATTGATTCAATAAACTCCAGAATTTAATTCACTTAACGTTTTTATAGAGCTCTAATAATTAAATTAAATTTAGTACCAAAAAGTTAATGACATATCTGAATAAAAATAACGGTAAAGTTTTACTTAATTTAAAAAAAAAAATCACAAATTATATATAAAAATCTGAAAAAAGTATAAGTATTCATTTTAATCACTTCGGATACACACACACACATATATATATATGCACATATAACATAAACAATACCTTTCCGTGGTCACAGGTTTTATTGGAGCAGGAACTGATATGGGACTATAGACTCTTGAAGAAAGCAGGAATATGAGATTATGCCAGTACACTGTTTTGAGTGGGAGAGAGTTCGTGGTGGAGATGGCTGAACGGCTTGGACTCGCTATACCCAAGGCTCTGCTATTAATAGCCAAGAGTAGACCATGTTTAAGGATGGTGAATCTTCTTTCTCAAATTTGAAATAGTTTAGCCAATGTTCAAAGAAAATATAAACAATAAATATAATCTAGAACTGTAAAATATATAAGTTTAAAACGAAAAGGAACTTCCGGCTTCATCTTATTATTTATTTACAACATACATTTTTCCAATACACCAAGTTCATTTTGCTTCATATTCCAGAAAGAAGGTCAGCCATGGTGGCTCTTGGTCGGCATTTAGCTTGCAGAGGCTTAGCCTTCTGCAAGGTGAAGGAAACTCCTTCAGTCATATCCACAATCTCTTCATCAACCCTCGTCCACTCAAAGCACTGAATTAACGAGCCAAGAGTCAACCCCATCACCTTCATAGCCAACCCATCTCCAGGACAGCTTCTCCTCCCATACCCAAATGGCATCAAACAGAACCCATCTTTTGTTCCGGCACCAGCTGTCTTCAAGATCTCTCTAAACCTCTCTGGCTTAAATTTTGTTGGATTTGCCCAAACGTTAGGATCATTTTGTATTGCCCATGCGTTAACCATCAGTGTCGTCCCGGCTGGAATGCAAAAGCCTCCGACACTGCACTCCGCTGATGATCTATGTGGTGCTAACAAGGGGGTTGCTGGGTACATACGCATTGCTTCATTTATGATGCAGCGAAGGTATGGAAGGTGGGCCAAATCTGATTCATGAAGAAGACGACTCTCTGATATGTGATTATCGATTTCAATTTGGGCACGTATAAGCTCTTCTGGGTGGTTTAGTAACAGCGAAAATGTCCACTCCATAGTACTTATAGTCGTATCAGTCCCAGCCAAGAGAAGAATCTGGACACAAAATTGTAAAAATTATAAAATATACTAGCCTTACAGGCTACCAGCTAAAGAAAATTTATAGACTTAACTTCAACAATTTTGAACTTATAATATTTGTCGATGAAATATTACCAGCATCAGGCCTTTGATGATTAGATCACTGTAATACTCTGGCTCTGATTCTTGCAGGGACAACAAGACATCGATCATTGTTTTCTTCCTCTCTCCATCGCAGCTATCAATTTTCATCTTCCTTCTTCCCTCTTCTATCAAATCCTGCATGAACCCATCTGTCTTCTTTTGACACTCTATCATCCTCCTCTCAACATCCCAAGATTTAATCCACGGCAAGAAATCTCCAATAGCAGTTAAACCAGCCACCTTTGAAGTTTCTACATGAATCTCACGAAAACGATTTGCCTCTTTGACGTCTTCCACGTTCTTGTCGTAGTAACGCTTTCCGGCTATCATTCCCATCATGGTATTAAGCGTCGACTCGAAAAACGATGTTCTCAAGTCAACAAGGCGATGTTGACTATCCAAGAGGTTGCGGATCATCGTCCTCACCTCGTCGGCTCTGATGTGGTACAACATTTGGAGGCGGGCGGGTGACAAGAGCTCGAGGCAGGAGATCCGCCGGAGATTTCGCCAATGGTCACCGTAGGGTGCCCAAGACATGATGGTGAAATTGTAGGCCAAGTGTTTACCGATCAGAAAGTGAGGGCGGTTGGCGAAAACGATGTCGTTTTTGGTGAAACACTCTTCAGCGGCCGACGGTGACGAGACGACTAGGACTCGGTTGGATCCAAATTGTAGAAGAAAAACACCGCCGTTTCGCTTGGATATGCGAGAAAGAGTTCTGTAGATGGGTGGCTTGAGGAGATAGAGATGACCGATGATGGGTAGACATGGAAATGGGGTTGGTGGAAGATTCCGGATTTTGTTAAGAAAGTGCCTGGTGAAGATGGAGATTGCCAGGAATATCAAAAGGGAGTAGAGATACCAGACCGCCATGTTTCTTTTCGAGAATGAAGTCACTCAAACGATTGAGTTCGGTCCTTGGATTTACTATGCACAGTGATTTCACATTTTCCACGCACTAACTAGTTGTTAATTAATATAATAGAAAATTGAATACAAGATAGTCGGTTGTGGTCGTTTTAGTAACGTCCATACAATAAATAATCCAAATTAGATGAAAGTTTTTTAGATTTTGTTTCAAAAATATTATAGATAAAGAGTGTAGACAAAAATTAAACTATTTTTGAATTAAGCATAAAGGGTATATTTTTGGGTTTTTAATAATAATGTGAGCTGGGTCGAATATGTATTTCAAAGTTTGATCAGTACAGAAATTGTTCAAAAATGGTATCAAGAAAAGGTAAAAGTCCGCATACGCATAATATGTACATACATATGTGTATAGTAAGAATCTTCGCATTCCATTTTAGTAGATAAATTGTTTTAAATATATATATATATATATTTGCATTCTCACAATTTATGACAATCTATAGTAACCGAAATATAATCTTTTTTAGATATTAAGTCGCGCATATACATATTAGAATTAGTACAGTTTTTACTAAATATGTACATAACCTATAATTCAATTTAAACTTACTATATCATATAAAAAATAAAAGTAATGATTAATAATAATAATAATAATGATAATAAGTAAAAAAAATATTAATCATAACATATTTGGAAAAAATCTTCATATTTCAATTTAAGAGATAAATTGCTAAAAGAAAGAAAAATAAACATATTTACATTCTCATTTATCAATTCATGACAGGAACACATTATTAAACTATAGATAGACAAAAGAAAAATAAAATGCATTATGTATCTGTCACTTTAGGAGTATATTATTAGTTGACACTAGATGACTTATAATACTTAATTTAGTAAGTTTGATGGCTAACTTATTAGTGTTTTGGTAGAGTTCTCATAACTAAATTAAATTTAATTTTAACGAGTTACTAAGAAAAATGATTGAAAAAATATTTCGTGATAGTTAAATTTCTTTAGGTAAGATAATGAAGTAAAAATCTAACCAAGCTTTTAATCATGTAAAAAAAATATATTATTCATCTTTTTGTTAAAAATTAAATCAAACCAAATCGAAAAACTGTAAGCAAACCCGTATTAAATCAAATAGAATGAACAGAGAAGCGTACTTGAATTCATATCGGAATAAATATCCGCGTACTATGGCAGATCTTCCAAATCAACACGTGACCTTTCAACCTTTCTTCTTCTGCTGATGGGATAGCAAGAAAAATAAAATTTACGTACGAT